ATATATATATATATATATATATATATATATATATATATATATATATATATATATATTTCAAATAGGAAACACATGCGAGCTCAAGCTGTGACCAACGCTAAGTATAAATATAAAAGACAGTGCACCATATAAAGTAAACATTCCTAAAAATATTAATTAAGCTTTCGATGAACGAAAAAAATATTATCATAATTCAACTTGGGGATAAATCAGGTAAGCTACATCCATATCCTTTACGAGCCTGCAGCATTCGTTTTCAAAACTTTTAAATGACTCTGCATGCATTTTCATTACCGACGAGTAAGGCTGCCTGATTGTTGACAGTCTGTCCTTTTTGTTTTGTTTTGTTTAGTTTTGGGTTTTTTTTGTTTTTTTTGTTTTTGTTTTGTTTTTGTTGTTGTTGTTGTTGTTGTTTTTGGGGGGGGTGGTTTCTTTTTTTTTGTTTTTTGTTTTTGTTTTTTTTTTCTAGAAAACTATCTCAACTCCTGATTTTCCTTAGTTTTGTTTCGTTTTGTTTTTATGTCCCAGATTGAGTGTCCTTTCCTGTGGATAACGTAGATCATTCCTATTCTTGAGTATTTAGAATTTTTTTTTTTTAATTTTGCATTATAAATTTATTACTATTACTTAATCATTGGCAAACGTCTAAGATGTTTACAAAACTCCTTTCATCCAAATTATCGAATCAGTCTCGCATTTTGATTCGGTCCTTACCTATGATCAATTGGAGAACAGATGCATAGCTGACATCATTAACATTTTGTTAACAGATTCCATTTTCCGTTTGTCTGTTCAGTAAGGAGACGTCAAATGTGGTAAGAAAATCACTGACACACTTGGCTATCCCCTTGTGTGCCACGTTTTGTTTGTTTTTTTTGTTTTGTTTTGTTTTGTTTTGTTTTGTTTTGTTTGTTTTTTTGTCTTTTTGTCTTACCACATTTTGATGTCAATTGTGATCGGTTACTGAAATTACGCGCGGCAACTTGGAATCTATTTGTTTAACTGTTGTTATTACTCTCGCAACAGGAATATGCCTTTCCAAAACCGGGCCTACAGATCCTCAGTCATCTAAACAGCGCCTCTTTACAAAACATGAGTTCCATTATCTGAATGTCCGCAGAGTTGGAACATTAACGGCACACGACGAGTTTGAATGCACCCTAGAATGCCTCAAGAATCCCCTTTGTCTATCTCTAAACACTGCGGCCTCCAGACGACCAGATGAAAAATTTTGGTGCGAGCTGCTTTCTTCCGATAAACATAGTAATGCTAAGGACTACGCGGAAAACATGAGTTCGCATCACTTTTCTAATATGGTATGGTTTCCCGTTATTTTGTCTCCAATGTTTGTATTTTGCTGGTCATGAAGTATGACTATGATGAAGTCCCGGCCAAACGATCGCAACATTTCAATGCAACGTATCGCAACATTGTTGGGAGCAAATTGTTGCGTGCGTTTGGCCACCCTTTTGCGATGTGTTGCGACATCTAAATGAACGAATGAATGAATGAATCAATCAATCAATCAATCAATCAATCAATCAATGAATCAATGAATCAATGAATCAATGAATCAATGAATCAATGAATCAATGAATCAATGAATCAATGAATCAATGAATCAATGAATGAGATTTTTTTTTATATAGACGAACGTTTCCGAACATTTTCTGAAGCTTGCCGAATATAACCGAGGATAACCGAAGACTGCCCAAGACTTCTGAAGAAGATTTGAAGAAGTTTCGATTATACACCGACAAATTTAAATGCATCTACAGGGAGAAAAATGGTATCTTCACATGTGCGGATAAATTTGATATCCTCACATGTGGGGATATCGTTTTTATCAATTTGAAATCGCTACCACTCGGTATACCGCTAGCTTTCATATAATAGAAAGAAATACATTACATGTAAGACTTTCTATTTACTGGCTTACATATTTGTCGTGTGGGAGGAGTTCGATGGAGGGAACCATTTATTGCTGCTTCTCTTAAAGAAGTCTATGGATTCTGTAGTACGAAGTTCCTTGGGGAGATCGTTCCATAGATCGAGAGAAACTCTGCAGTACCCGAATCTAGGCTTCAGGCAGTCATTTCTTGGTTTCGATAGATGCAGTTTTTGAGTGGCGTCGCAGAGGTCAAGGGGCAGAATTTTTGGATTAAGCATTTTTTTTTCCACATGTTGGGTCAGTGTTGACTCAATTTTGAGAATGGTACTGTACTCGTTTGGCCAGGTTCATCATGCATGCCCGGGCATGCACACTAGTTCGATTTTCAACAACCAATATGTCTAACAGGTCGCAACTGGCTAGCCAAACGCGCGCGACATGTTGCACCCAACAATGTCGAATTGAATTGTGGCGATCGTTTGGCCGGGGCTTGAAATGCTTTTTTTAGAGGCAGAAATTATGAGACAAGCCAGGGCGTGTCTTTTTCCCTCTAGCCTGGGTAGCTGGCAAAATTTCCCGAGTGCTCTTTTAGCGACTGAGCTTCTAACAAAAGCAGGCAAGCTACGTGGAGAATAGTGAGTAATCAGCGTGGCTTCGCCGCTCTCGAAAATCTTATTGGGGCCTCAGTTCCTACCATCCCGCCGGAACGAAACACCCGGACATGAAATCTCGCCAGCTGTGAGGGCTATTCTCATCTAAATAATAGTATATTGCTCGTAAACCTGAAACCTTTTTTTTTTTTTTGAAATTTATGTAACTGTTTGTTCTTATTTCAGCCACCTTGTTTTTCATCGCCGTGTCAAAACGGAGGTACGTGCGTGCCGAATTATAAAGACGGAACGTTTGAATGCCGCTGTCGAAACGGTTTGGTGGGAAAATATTGCGAAAAAAGTGCAGAATCGTGCAAAGAGGTTTATGACGTACACAAGTGAGTAGTCATACTGATAATGCCGTAAGCCAGCACTTTTTAAGGGGTTTTGGATGGGGTGGGAAGGGGGTGTTTATAAGCGGAATATGAAAACCGTTTCGAAATGAGCCACCGCAGCGTTGATGGAAATGCATTTATAAGGGGGATTCTTCTCAACTACCAATTCATCATGAATTTGTTGCTATGGAAGGTTTCTAACGGTCATATTTTGAGGACCAGACCTCCCAATGATAAGCTTTTTGCACAGGTTTGTTCCACTAAAGACTCCTGCAAAATTTTCAAGTCACGGCCATATTTGACCAGTCATGTGACCAGGATAGAAAAAATCCTAAAACTTTAAAGCCATCTAAATCCAAAAATTTGCTTCCGGTTGAGTTGGAAACCACGGGAGATTTGACCTGGGACTAGCCAGGCTCGATCTGTGACGTCAAAACCAGAACGTAGGTCTTCCTATTTCTAGAACCAAAAAAAATAGAAACGAAAACAATAAGTGAAATATACTAGTAATTAGGCAATCAAGCGTTAATGTTTTTTTCGATTTCCACATCGCAATCTCATGAAGATTCCATCAAGCAAATCATCTGTCATGTACACTTTCAATATAAGACTGACGTGGTAAGCTGTGAAAGAAACTATTTATGTTCTCATAGAATGAGAATGTACTTATTCTCCGCTGGGGGTCCCTAGTTGCCTTACAATCCACCCTCAAAGTTGATTTTTGTTATGATTGTCCAATTCCTCAATTGTTGATCTAATCTTGCACATCTTAAATTCAGCAGGTCAAACGCCAGTCTATTGGTTACGCTCTGTCTTGGCCAGACGCCAATTTCTGTTCTCTGTCACATGGGAGATTTTGGATGTGGAGATGGAAGATGGACACCGGTCATGAAGATTGACGGCAACAAGGTAGGACAATAAATCGACCATTTTATTATTCTCAGAAGATTATGCTGTCAAAATTACTAGGATATCGGCTGGTATACCGTAATTGAGGAATGATGCAACTTTGAGAAAATGATAATATTGAACAGATAAATAAATTTCCTTTATTGTCGTTATTTGCAAGGATACCTTTCATTATAACTCGAGATTCTGGAGCAATTTAGAAGAGTACAATCTTCCTGGAGGCATGACTGGCTTTGACGCACAAGAGACCAAGCTACCAACCTACTGGAACACATCCTTCTCAAAAATCTGTCTTGGAATGAAGATCGGCCAACAGATCAAGTTTGTTGTCATTACCAAGCAGACCAACTCTCTTTATTCACTGCTCGCGGACGGGCAATTCCGTTCTACCTCACTGGGTCGTAACACGTGGAAGACGCTGATAGGTTCCCAGGCCTCTTTCCAACCTAACTGTAACAACGAAGGGTTCAACGCGTTTTGTACCGTTAAAAGCATAAGGATCGGTATCCTTGGTAACAACGAAAATGACTGCAACACCTGCGACTCTAGAATTGGATTTGGTGCAGACAATTCTCTTGGTGACTCCAACACGTGTGGAAACGTAGCATTACATGGAGGAGATAACGGCGACCAAAACATCAGGGCCATGGGTTACATCTTGGTGCAATGACAAAAAACTGACCACTTAATATTAATTTTTCTTATCCAGAAAATACAAACCTTCTTGTTAAGATTCAGCGACTATGAGCTATGGGGTCGGAGGGACGGGGGCGGCGGTTTTGTTTTACCTGCCCTGCCGGCTTTTCTTTCTTCGGTCATTTCTTCTTTTTTCACCCAAAATAAGAGGGGCCCTCCTCTAGATCCGCCACTGAGATTATTGTTGCAGTATTGAAGATTTTGATATTAGTTTTAGGAATATTCTTTCATATAATAGTGCCTTCTCGTGGTGGTATATGAAAGAACGTCAGATCACTTGTATTGCAAGAAAAATGCATGTAGATGCGTGACAACGAATTAATTTTTCCTCCAGTGGTCTAACACTCCATTGTTTTGTTGAGCTGAAACCTCTCGCGCGCGCGCTCGGCACCTACTTTACCAAGTGAATTCAGCCAAACCATTGACACATCAACCTTAGCGAAGCAGAAGAAAACCAAAAAGAAGGAAGGTGGTTTGACGGTTTGTCTGCAAATATGTTTTGTATGAGGATTAGCCTGTTTCTGTTAGTACAGTGGAAGCTCTAGTGAGCGGACACATTCGGAACGCAAAAGAAAATGTCCGTTACTGGCCGCTAACGAGAATGGTTTTCGTAAGCGACCAATAGAGTTGTAAGGTGTATATGGCCACTTACGGGAGCTTGCCCAGCTAACAACAAACATTTGGAATGCAAAAAAAAAAAAACACCGTTCCAAAGGAGTTTTGATTTTTGCTTTTGATAATGGCGATAACTATATATACTGCCATACTATGCGATATAAAGATTCTACCTGCAGTACTAACTGCAATACTATAGGATATATATATTAGATTCTAACTGCATCTCTATGCGATATACAGATACATGCACTAACTGCAGTACCACTGAACTGCAGTACTACCAATGCGATACTACAAATAAATGCAATACAGTACTATGCGATAACTGCAGTATTGCGGCTGGCCCTTAGTGATTAAAAAAATAAATCAACCAACATTAACATTAAAAGTTTACAAATGTTTATGAGTAGTCAGGTTCCAATTTTTGCATTACGAGATAGGTAGCTGCGAATGGACAACTGCTTTATAGCATTCAAAGATTTAAGTTGCAAGTCCATCGATCAAGACATCCTTTTAGCCTGTGATGGCTTGCGACAGTTTTTTTGTGTTTGTTTCTCTTATTGAAGAACGCCGTTAGATTATTGACTTCATTGGGAGGTCTTAGGAAGCTTAGGCCCGACCATCCACACTACATCGGAGCAATTTAAAAACGCAACAATCACCAGTCACTTTATATTTTTGTTTGAGGAGATCTCGGCCAGGAAAATCACGTGGTTCTCCTGATCATATCGTGTTCGAAAAGGTCCGTTTAAAAATGTTTTTCGTCCACATGAAAACTCAAAGTCGACGTTTTCAAATTCCTCCGGTTTGGAGAGCGTTTTCGAAAAGCTCCGCTTACGTGACAGGTGTATTACTCTGGACCGTAGGCCTAACCGTAGAAATAAAGCTGTAAGCGTTTTTAAATTCCTCCGGCGTAGTGTCGACGGAGTCTGGAGCAAACCACGACGTCAACGAGCACCACCAAACAAAACGTTTAATGAGCAAAACAAAGACTGTACAAGTGTGTTCAGTAAGCCGTTGTAAATTTCAAAGACGTTCTCTGCAAATCAACAACGCACAATTACCGCGAATGCGAACGATGAGTCGAACTGCTAATTTTTCGTATTTCCATTTAGAATGAAACGCCGTCATTGCATATTTAGTCTGAGCGAGATTTAGAGCCATAGGCGTCCCAGACAAATTCAATGTTACAAGGCGTTGTCCTCGGCGTCGCCGTCGTATTGTTAAGATCCCTAGGTCTATATTTGCATCTCGGATGCTGGAGGGTCGATACACTTGTTTAAAGTGG